AGTTCAAAACGTTAATTTAAATTAAAATTTAATTAGATTATCGTTGAAATGTTTTGAAATGGACTCCAATATTTCGCAAACTTATCCCTTATAGAAATTTAATACTGTAAGTGATTTTTTGGCTAGTAATTAATTACTTAAAAGCACTGTTAATAATGCTTTTAATAGTGCTTTTAAGTAATTAATTACTAGCCAAAAAATCACTTACAGTATTAAATTTCTATAAGGGATGTGAACAGCAGCAGTGATATTTAACACTTCAGAACTTCTTCCAGATTTAGTGCAAAATAATGCATTTCTCGCAAGCAATTTACACAAGTATTTCTCCTTGCAGCCTTTCTAATAATTTCAACGCAAAGCCGAGATTTAATGACATACAGAAATAAATGATTTTTTTAAGTATGAACGGTGATGCGATAACGCATTCATAAGTAACGCTTGGGATCAGTCTGTAACATGTGAAAATGTAAATAATAACTTTATGTATCATTATACAAAGTGCTGACAAAAGTAACAATATTTTATACTGTTGTTCTTGTCTCTTAAGGTTATTAATACTTAACTGATTAGGCATGCAGACTGATATAGCGTTGTAAGAAAGGCCAAGACTGTTGCATTTTTAGCATTTACTTTAGTTACTTTGACAAGTTATATATACATGCATTTAATTATGTAACTCTTAAAAATAGTAAACTAACCTCACATGAAATAATTCAGAATCTCTCATTTACTAAAAAGATTATTTCATCACAAGTGTGTTACAATAGTAATTCTTACTTAAATTATATTTTTTTCCAGAAAAGAGACTTATTGAAATAATAATATTTAACTTCCTATGCTTAACGTCTTATACTTTAAGAAAAGTGTGACAATTTAGCAAATTCATCAGCTTTTAATTAAAAATAGGTAAATTATATTATACAATACCCAAACAAACCATGAGGACTCTTCTCTTTCGCATCATATTGATTTCTTGCTAATCGGTGACAAAATGGTAAAAGAAATAACACTGAACATTACTAGCCCTATTCACTCTAACCATGCCCTTTCGCGTCCCACGAGTTTCTAACAGTCGTTTGTTCCGGAAAACAAATGATCGTCAGATAATCCCCCCCTCCTAAAAAAAGTTGTTACAGTAGGGAACATCAGGTAGAAATTTCAAAGTCCTAGCTCATTTACTCTCGAAACGGCGAACAATCAAAATCTCGGTGGGACACGAAAGTGCATGGTTGGAGGATTAAAGGGGCGGAAAAAACGTTGGAGTGAATAGGGCTATTAATATATCTGTCCTTGAGACAATGCACTGACATCTTTTAGATTTCAAATTACCAAATTGCAAGTTTATGATTGAAACAAAATGATAAACCTTTCATGAAAATCTATTTGCAAATTATATTTCAAGTGTGTGATTAGATAGAGAAGCTCAAGTCCTTCATCAAATTCCAGAAACACAGACTCACACATACGAGTGAATGACATTTTCAGAATATTAATTCCATGCTTTATTGCTGAAATATTAATGCAAAAATAAAAAGTAATAGATGACTCTTAGTTTCAAAATTAAATATGAAAAATTCTTGTTAACCTTTTATACATTAATTTTTTCAGTTAACATATCTATTATTACTGTGTAAAAATATAAAAAAAAGTATCTTGAAAAGAGAAGAAATGTATTATTATTATCGGTTACTATAATTGTATTATATGTATAACATATTTTGACACATACAAGACAATGCATTATAATCTATCTTGCGTACATTTTTTTATTATGTATTTCTCATCTCTTTCTTATAATAATACCTGAGGGCACAAATCATCATGTCCTACGACAGTGTAATAATAACAAATATTTATTTCACTGCCTTAAGTATAGAAATATTCTTTGGAAACGTTTAATATTTTACAGTAAATTCGACGTTAATTGACTACGTTTACACGGCCCGATTTATGCCAAAGTTATAACATTGATACTTTAGAGTAGTCTTCGCATTAATTCGAATATTTATCCAAAAATGCTGTTACGCTTGCTAAACATTGATCGTAGACTTCCTGAAATCCTACGCTATCGTGATCCTGTAAGAAGATCATGGGAACAGTTTAATATACATCTTTATTGTTTTTTTTTGTTCTATGAATGCTAAAAAATTACATACGTAATAGGGATCTCGTATTATGTGATTTCCACTTGGATCATAACTTCCTAGAAGCTGTACTTTTGCTCGGCAATTCTCTGGTCTATTCTTAGTCAAAAAGACCATGTTCTCCTGATCCATTCCAAATATCCAGTCATATTTGTTGAAATCAGCTTGCTGCATCTGTACACGTAAATAAAAATATTTAAATATACAATAAATAATTTACATAATATAACAATTTGACGATTCTAAATAATTATTCATTCATAATTCATTTAATTACAGCGAGAATCATCCTATTTCTTTCCTTTGTAAGAAGAATTTGATCATAAAACTATTTGACACGTAGAAAAGTCTGAAATTATTATTACACAGGATTGCAACAATAAGCTCCTTAACATTTGTTTCCGAAAACTGTAAGATCTTACTTGGCGTGCTCTGTGGGAATAATCAGTGATCCCATTTGCCTTTAGCGTACTCAGGGCCCTATCGTCTGGGCGACGTCCTTTGTGAAATCCTATAATGGCAGCGCTGTCTACTTCCCACTGATCTTGCAAACCTCTCTTGTTCACCTCATTCTGGAATACAGCCTCCGCTATCGGCGAACGACAAATGTTGCCTGTAGGCACAAGACAATAACTGATGCTAATTAACGACACACGTACAAATAGCTTATTGTTTTATTTTTATATGTTTCCCCCCTAGAAAATATTTTTGCCCATATATTTACAAAGTCTATAAAATATCTGTATTACCTATAACGGTATTATCTATAATACCTAAACAAATCATGAGTACTTTCTTCTTCTCTTTCGACATCTCGGCACACAAAATACAGTATGTGTTGTGGTTGTGATCTTCGGAATGTCTTCTGTCCTTTATATTTAATTGAAGATCTCCAAGTATGTTTCACATCCCATGTGTTGACACTCGATCCTAGACGATTTAATATGGCCAAAAAAAAAAAATTGGATAACATCACACGGTGTTCCCAAGCGGTCACCCATCCAAGTACTAACCGCGCTCAACGTTGCTTGACTTCAGTGATCGGACGAGAACTGGTATGTTGAAACGTGATATGGAAGTTACCCGATGATGTGAGTTATTCGGAGACGATTTAAGGAGTTTTAATTCGAAAGCTTTTGACATAATTGGTGATATATAAACGTTGCCTTTACATCCTACGCAATAACATCAAATGCGATAAGGACTATATTGAAACAAAATACGTCATATATTAGTCTTCGCTTTGCGTTGGAAGCGCTTATGAGTTTGTCCAGCTTCCCTTGGGCGCGTATCAGCGAAACGAACCGCTTGCCGCTCGGTAGCAATCGAACGTGGTTGGCTCTTACTTTTAGAACCAATAGCAGACACAACTGTTGAGTTCGTCTTATCAACACTCTGCGTTGATTGGTTGGTTCTAAAAGTAATAGCCAATCACGTTCGACTGCTACTCAGCAGCTTGGTCTATTGAACGTGCCCAATAAATCAAAGGAGCGTCCCGTTTGACCCACAGCGGCCACAGCCACTCACAGTCCCCGGTGCCTAGTGTTTTTTTCACCGGACCAGCCAATCGGATATTTTCAACGATCCGCGCGCCGAAGGACAGTTGGCGACGCTGCCGAGGTGCCTGGGGTTTTAAGTGTTTCGCCTTACGTCGAACAATGTTCCTTTCCAGTGCGTAACGTTGTCCTGTAAACACGTGGTTACGACTGTAATTATCGGATTTAAGGCGAAATACTCTGCGAATCACGTAAGTATCCGCGCCGTTTCGTTCGCCGTCGCGCGAATTCCGCTTGGCCGCGACCCGCCGGCCTCGCCCGGCCCGGGAATCGAGTTATTCGCGCCCGCATATCGTATGCGGCATGCCGTCCGCGCTTCCTATCCCTTTGCGGTATCGCCCATTGCACAGTAGGCAAATTTTGTACGGTAGCTACTTGTTAATTTAACGTTAAGGACTATCGCATCCGTGTCGGTGAAACGTTCGACGAAGCTCGCGTTATTCGCGATCTTCGAGCTCTTGCGCGATCCCACTGTCACTGGTTACCCCACAAGATTGCACAATGTTGTGTATACATCTTGTATACTAATGGAAGAAATTGTACTTGTTTTATTGTTATTTTGACACGAGATATTTGTGAATTTGTTCCGAGCACGAGTTTTTTGACAACCGGACCTGTTCTTGCAGAATGCCGCTAGCCAGAGATTTTCTCCATCCGAGTCCCATCGAGGAGAAGAGAAAACACAAGCTGAAGAGGCTCGTACAGAAGCCCAACAGTTATTTTATGGACGTCAAATGCCCGGGGTGCTACGCCATCAAAACAATCTTCTCACACGCCCAGAGGCCGGTAGAATGTGACGGCTGCCGTACGATACTTTGCACGCCGACAGGCGGGAAAGCACGATTAACTGAGGGATGCTCTTTTAGAAGAAAGGTCCAGTGTTAATTTTATGCGATAATGTATTCGATGCTTCTCTTTATATTCGATAAATAAACACAATCACATTACGTACTATAGCGTTATTTCACTGTGAGATACAACCTACCTGTGTAACGTACAGGATACGTTGCAGTAAATGTGGTCGATCTGCAGACTTTTTAGGAACTTAAAAAATGATCCTTTATTATCGCAGGTTGATTTACTGCTATTGAATATTGATAATTAAATTATTTTGAATAATAGTTATTTGAAATAGATGTAAAATCATAGATTCGTGTAAATATTCCCGAGTTTAAATTGGATTTCTCTTAAGACACAAATCCAATTATGTTTTAGAACATTTATCCAATTATAAGATTTTAAAATATTTTATAACTGGATTTCATATATTTTTAAAATATAACGAATAAAAATATTGTTTAAACCAAATTTTATATATATGTACACAATTGAACCAATTAAATGTTCTATAAAGTTTTTGCTACGAACGTTTTAGCAAAATCGATAAAGACTATAATTTTAATTTTTATATTGATTTTTCCCGACTGTATGTTACGTCCTGCAGCCATGAAAATGTACCTAAGACATGTATGTAAAATATATATCTCTGACATACAAAATGTGAAAAAGGCGTATAAATAAGGATATAGACGTGATCATAAATCTTTATTTCCATACACGCCTGTGATCGTTTTTATAATAAATTCGACAATCTGTAACAGAGATTCCTGTGTAGTACTGTGTTTCAAGATACTCTCGAGTCTCATGCGGATGTACATAGATAGCTTCTATAAATAAGCTGTTGCGCATGTCGCGTATTTGTCTTTTTAATTCACATCTTATAGCATTATCCTAATTGACGGAAAAGGAGAAAACTTAAGAATGTAAAATCGCATTGTACGATTGAAATACTCCAGGGGCGACTTCTACGGATCGAGATTTCAGGGACAACTGCAACGAGAAAAGAAGAGACCAATTATGAAAAACGCGAAATTAACGATAAAATAAAATTTGAGATAAGTGTATATATAAGAAGTATAAAATATCTTATATAACATCTTTTTATGCAATTATTCTTCATAACTAATGACTGTTAGAAAAGGATGTATTCTAACTCAAGATAAAATATATATTATTGATCTATCAATTGATCTAAGATTGACTTAGAACTAAATACATTTCTTCTAAATAACCATTAGTTTCAGAAACAATCGCGTTGGAAAGATTTAAACGTAATGCTCTGTGTTAAACGTACCGTGACGTCGGGATTGCCTGGCTGAATTTTCAGCTCATTCAATACCCAGACATTGTTCGTCAACTTGAGAGACTGATAAAGCATATCCTGTCCTTCCACATTCCTCTTGGCGATCGTGAAGACATTATTCTGTTGCATCTTTTGCACCACTTGATCCGCGGTCAACATTACTCCGTTTAGCGTATACTGTACCTGCAAATGTGAGATATGTCTCTTGAAGATTTTTCTCCCCTCTATTAATGAGTCCCACAATAATCCATTTTTTTTAAATAAATATAGAAAAAAAGTGAACGAGTGATACCTCATTCTGTGCAGGTATGTCTTTCCAGGTGGAAAGAAACACCCTCTTGTCCAATTGTCCGTCTTCCACGAAGTATACATTCATAGGCACGATACACGCGAAATAGAAAACGTCGATGTTGTTTTTGATAGCAACCTGCAGATTGCTCAAGGGCTCCATGCGTTGCACCGCACCGGTAGTGGACAGTATAATGTTCGTTTCTATACTCGATCCGGGACTCAGGGGAGCCGCCACTTGTAACGGGGCCGCTGGCGTCAAACCGAAGCTATTCTTGTTGAGCTGTATCGCGAATCCTCCCATAGGTTGCATCGCCTTGTTCGTGAAGGTCATGTCCATGCTAATTTGCCCATTCCTATGACACATTTTGCGCGGTATAATTATTTGCAATCAAAGAGTTGTATATCGCAAGACCTCTATATTCATTAATGTGTATCATATATATCGCTCTGTATTAATTACTTTCTCGAGAATGTGCCCCAGATATCAAAGCCTTTGCCCTTTTCGGCTGGTAACCAATTAACTTTGGGAGGTATGTAAGGCGTGGGACCTTGGTTGAAGCCGAATATGTCGCCGAGGAGACCCGTGGTGCTCTGAGAAACGGCTGGTTGCGCGTTCGTGCTATCGTTGTTCAGGATTCCGTCGAGACCACCGCCTAAAAGATCCAATCCTATTCCCGTGGACGTTGGTGCAGGCGCTGGTGTGACCAACGCCGGGCCACCTGGAATAAAATAAGTGAACAAGTATAATTTTTTATCTGCGACAAATATCATATAGAAAAATAAGGAATAACGGCATGCTCGCAATTTTTGCAAAAACTGAAACATTCACATATTATACTTTAATATTATTGTACATTTTAATTTTCTAATTTTAATTCTACTTTTAATTTAGGATTTGCTCACCAATATCCATGCTAAGAAGATCGCCGATTAGGGAGTCCTGAGCGGGTATGACCTGCGCATGGGGTTGTTGTGCAGTTGTGCGGGTGGAGTCCTCGTTTGAGTTACTTCTAGCGGGTAACGACTTTCTAGCACCAGCCGCTCTGCCTTCTACGAATGCCGTGGGTGGTTTGTGATACACGGACGCCAAGCTCGAGATATGGCAAATCAATTCGTCTAACAATGTCGGTTCCAGCAGATCCGTCTCCTCCGAGATTAGAGGCTTTTCCGCGAGCACTACCTCCTTAGCCGCTGCCGGATCGGTGCTGAGCAGCCGCCAGTAGATGAAACCGCGGTCTCGCAGATCAGGATTGTCGGAATCCTGCGTGGCCAAGCTGAGCACCTGCTGAACCAACTCTTGCGTATCCGTGGGCCTCTTGAGGAACAGTTTGACAATCGCGGTGAGCAACTGCAGCTGCACCTGCGTGTTCTCGTCGTGGAATCCCTCCAAGAAGCTCTCAAGCAACTCGTCAGCGTTGTCGATACGCTCCGCGTATTCTCCGATGATCCATATCATGGAGGCACGCGCCTCAGGCTCGTCGAGCGTGTCAAGATTTTCGCACAGAGTCGAAATTATGCTTTCGTATTTATTAGGATACTTGCGGAAGATATCTTTTATTACTACAATCGCTTCTTGAACAACGTAATTCACCTGAGGAAAATTAAAGGTTCGATTAATCAATAATCAATTAATTTTGAAATATTAAATTTTGATAGAATATTTGAAATATAAAATTATGTTAAAGATATACCCTAAAATTTGCTATTCTATTTTAGGTTTCGTAATATCTTTTACTTTAATTACTTTTGTTTGTATCAGGTCCAGTAACGTGGAGACGCAACGCTCCGCGGATGGCTCGACTTTTATGGCGCAGCGACCTATGGCTCTCACAGCTTTCCTAACGAAATCCACGTCGACTTCGGTGGCGTACTCCTTCAGCTCCGACAGGACTTGCGCGATGTTGGCCTGCGACGCTAAACGAATCATAATGTCCAGCTTCTCCAATTTTACGTAAATGGGATCGTTGTACTTGACGAAGAATACTTTCATCTCGTGTTTCAGAATATCTGGTCGCTTTTGCACAATGAGATTGATATTTCTCAATGCGACGTACTGAACTTCCGGTTCGGAGCTCAATAACGTGACGAGAGGAGGCGCCAATTTCTTCGTAAGTGTGGCAACAAAATCCGACTCGGACTGCAGCATCTCCATCAATTTCATTAATACCTAAAATGTCAATGTACATCCGATTAATATAAAATTATCTTTCTGTTAGCGAAGACTTGAAGATAAATTTAAATGAGAGAAGAGAGAAATTGATGAGCCCGCATGTTCTTGTTGGTTCTTAGATTTTGATGCTAATGTTACATAGAAGTTACATAGTAGAACATTTGATAAATTGTATAAGATAGGGCTAATCGCATTCTTCTTCTGAACCCGTTATTTAGCTGCATTTACTTTGACAGCAGAAAGCACGACTGCAGCGTTAGCGTGCGCCAGACGCGGAGTGATCCGTTCGCAAATGCTTTGTGCCTCACGATCGTCTCTGGGCGGATAATTCGCCAGTGAATCCAGGATGAAAACTTGGCCCCATTCCGTACACTCGTTGAGCGCCGTAAGCAGCTTGTTTATGGTCTGCGAGTTCATTTCAACCAACGGTTGACCGCTCGGACTAGCCTCGTTGATCTCGGACAGAGCAGCTACCGCATTTGCGACAACCTAATAACACACGGCATCTATTATCTGCAGTGTTGTTATCTTCAGGGGTAAATTAAAATCTTTTTCGTTTAATAAAAATTTCTTTTGTTCTGTTACCGCTTCTAACAATATTTTATCAAATATCTGTATAAATAGTATAAGATCTTAAAACGTTTGTTATATTATTTCAGTTACATCAAGCTCTGTGACATAAGAGAGGATAGCTTTACGTACCATTGGATTGCTGTCGGACAGAAGATCCTTCAACTGATCCAGGAATCCCTGGTCCTCGACCAAGGCTGCATTAATGTCATAAAGTTTGGCGACGCACACGGCTGCGGTCTTGCGTACATACGGGTCCTCGTCCTTCAGGCACTTGCGCAGCGGCTCGCACAGATACTCGGTTATCTTGTCGACACGTATGCAGCCCATCGTGCGAACTGCCAGCGCGCGTATCAGCGGATTCGGGTCTTCGCAGTCCTGCGCAAAAATCGGGCAAGCCAGGGATTCAAGTCTAGTCACAGTAGTGGCTATCTATCTCAACCCACTTTAACAAAGTAGAAAGTAGCATTGGTACCTTTGTCATCGGAGATGTCGCTAGCTCCTTTTGCGTGTCAGAACGAAAAAGGTCAAATTGGTCACCGTCACCATTTTTCATTAAGTGTTAAATACTATACTTATCAGCCATTTAAAGTAGTGTAATCGAGAACTGGTCATTTTTTAAAGAGCACGAGGTATTATTCTTCGTTAGTTCTTTCTCTCTTTCTTTACAATCGTAGCGGCATAACTTTGCGAATAGAAAATTAAGAATTGTGTTACACCAATATTAGCGCCATGCAAATAGAGATAAACGGTATATCATCTAACATATATTATATATATATATGTATATATATACATATAAAGAAAAGTATATATTTACAAATATTTATGTTAATCGCATTATTAAGATATTATTTTTAACACGAATTACATTCATTAGATACACTGAAATTTTGAGTATGATACAAATTGCGTGCAATTAGTAAATATTATCTTTATACAAGCATCGATTGGTGATGCAGTCATATGTATAAATTAAACATTTAAAGAATCACAATTTTCATGCTGCTGCACATTAGAAATTTACGAGTAAAAGATTAATGTTCGAATCTATCATTCCTCGATTCAAAACTCGTATCACAACTGCAATATAAGAATTAATTTAATATATTTATATTATAAAAAAACAGCATCAGTGAAGAATGTACATTTTTGTTTCAAGCGTTTTGTTTCGCATGTATAGATACAAAATTGCGTGATCTCTCAAAATAACATGCTTAATTCCGGAAGAAACAAGATGTATATGTCAGTGCATTAGCGTGAAAAGAATAACGAGATTTTAAATCACTATTAATTCATCAGTCATTTGGTAAATTAATCATGTATTATGGATGTACATATTAATATAATAGCCTAACGGAGTACATTCTGGAATTTGGTCCCATAACATGACATCATGAAAAAGTGGGGGAAAAGATTTATCGCGTATTACGTTATTCATCGTCCAGAAAGTAATTTATTAGTCTTTTTGTTATTAAAATTAAGTATTGGAACAACCAAAATCCAGACCCGTGCCCTTTGAAAAACAAACAATTCGATCGTAATGAACGAAAAAGTTACATTCCGTCCCATAACGCAGACAGCTCTGTGCAAGCTGTAATTTGCAAAGCACAGTCTGTATACAGTGCGAGGCACGCTGTAAAATGTAACGCAACGAGGATGATATCCGTTAAAGAAGATTATATTTACAATTCCAACGGCCGTCATTGGGAATACATAACGGCGAACAATTCTCTAGTTTGCCTCTCGTTAGAGACAGACTCTGAACATCATCCAAGTGTTATTAAGAAATATGTAAGAGGGTAAAGGTGCGTTATATATAGTAAAATCGTGATGGCGAATTGAATGACGAGTTTCTAAGCTACGTTACCTTGACGAACGTGTTGACCGCCATGATGGCCATGTCCGGTTGGCTCTTGGCGTAGTTCATCAGATACAGGTACACCAGCTTTTTCAGTTCCAGATTGTCGGTCTGCATGCAGTTCACCACATCGGGAAACAACGCAGACACGTCTTTCCCTACTGTCATGGAAGCAATCACCTGGACAGACAGTTAACAATACACCTGCGTTATTACAATGCAATTATAACGTTCTTAACGGGTACAGATCTATCATTTTCATTTATTAAAATCAATCTTGTTCTTGATATCATTTTCTAAGAGGAGGCATTTAACGTCTGTGTAATTGCTATCATACGTTACTACATTATATTTATTATTCACACATACTTTTGGTTCCATACGTGTTACACTTTACAGAAAGAAGCACAGCGACACAATCAGAGGACAAGTACGTTTTGCAAGACTACATGCACCAGCATTACTTTCTCAATTCTTGTTTTTTAATTAAGATACATCGAATATGCTTCTCATCATCTACCATATACATGACATGTTCTCAATGTATTAATAAATTCAAAGATAATCAGGGGATTATTAAAACCTAAAGGAGTATTATACATACAAGAAGTATTCTTGTAGAAAGAAATTATTGAAATTATAAGATTCAAGTCTCCTTGTCTTAGATTTTGCAACTTACCTGAATAATATCCAAATTACCTTCTGTTTCAAGTATTCTGCATGAAAATGCTTACTATTCGCATCATATTAAAGTATTACTAGCAAGGCCAAAGTTATCACTCGTCATAAAAGCTAGAAATACTAAAAGGTATACGATAACAGATCCTTTTTATTTACCTTCTTCACAGCTTCCTTCTTCTTCTCTTTCTTCTCATTGTTCAGCTCCGACTTGAGCTCAAATATCTCTCCCTTCTTCGTGGTGGTAAAATACTTTGAATCCGTCATCTTGTCTGCGGTAGCGCATGTAACAAAACGTAAGTAAGTCAAAGTAAATTTACAATCACTACACATACACAAAGAAATATGAAATCTCTAATGTCTTATATGAATATGTATAGAACTATCACTACTCTTATCCACTTTCCATCAATTTAACTATCTTCTTCCCAAAAACAATCGGAGTAATAATCTGATCTCTAATCACATAACAATACCTTATGTTAGCTTTTTCAATAATAAAACGAATAATCGTTAATGTTATACAAATATCGTTTTATAAAACTGAATTTACCTCAACACGTAACTACAATCTAATTACATCAAACTGATATTAAGGTCAAAGTTGTGAACTGTGGCTTAATGGAAGTTCCAAAATTTTCGACAGCCGAGAAACTCGCGGAGGAGCGGCAACAGACTTCCGCACACTGGAGAGAGAAAGAGGGAGAGGGAGAGAGAGAGAGAGAGAGTCACGTCTGCAGCGAAATTAAATAAGATTTCGCTATATAGCGAACTCGGGATTGGATCAATGTCCAGAATCTATAGTGCCGTAGCGCTAACTCCCACGCCGAGCGAATTCGAGCTGTCATTTGAACGCGGAGCTTGGCCGAGGCTGGGACCCTGGGGAGACGCCTCGTCGATAGATAATCTCGCGGGGGCGCGAGGCGAGATAAGCGACGGCATGGCGGTCCCGCGGGACAATTAAAGAGCGGAGTAAAAAAGCGTTTGGAAACACATTACGTAGAATCTCGAACGGTTGCATCTGGAGCGTGGCCGCCGCAACTGCTCGCGCCGTGCCTCATTAAATTACCTGTCTATTTAACAGCGACCGACGGCGGCGGCGGCGGCGGCGACGGCGGCGGCGGGGAGGAGGGGCGAGTAGGGTCGAACGATTTTATCCGCGAAGCGAGGACGGGAGAGACGTCGTCCGCCCCCCGGGGAACCTTGGGGCCTCTGTTGTGCGTGCGTGACGTGTGATGCACCGGGGCACCTTGTGACACTTCGCTGCCGCTGACACGGCTATCGGGCCACGCAGGCCTCGCGCACATGTAGGGGATAGGTGACGGGCCTCTCCGTACTCCGTTTTCCAGTTATCGATAAGCGGCTCGTCCCCGATTGGCCCCCGTGGAATGCGCGTGTGCGCTCGGCGTTAGGTCCGTTATTTCTAAATCCCTACGAATCTCTCGCTCGCTTTCTCTCTTTTTTTCTGTCGATGCATTTTCTGTATACTTTTTTTCTTTTTTATTTTTTCTCCTCAATATTTTTCCTTTTTAAAATCCATTTTACTTCATTTCAAGCGGAAAAACCTCAAGAAGAATAGACCGTACGTGATGTTCGAACTTGATTGGCGCGCGCACGTCGCTATGGCTTCCTCGATCACTTGCGAGTTTGCCTTTAGGTCCGTCCAACGAATCGCAACAGATGATTTGGCACCAGATTCCCCTCTCCCGGCATTCGTTGATCTACGATAAGAAAAATAAAATTAAACTTGATATCCGCCAGCGGCAGGGCTGCCAGATTGGGCTATTTAACGCAAATTGGGCTATCTAGAGAACTCTTGTGCGGTATAAATTTTTCAAACGAGGATTTCCGCATTTTGCTATTTTTTAAGCCACGGTGTAAAATATAATTTTTATGTAATCTTACAATTATATTTTACAGTACACCGTGTCTTGAGCGAAAATACTCAATTCATCTGGGTTTGAATTTGTGGAAACACCGATAGTTTGGCACTATGAAATTTGCAACACTGGTTTGCAAATCTATGGTTGCATTCTACGCTTGCGCCGCACAGACAAGGAACGCACTTGGACATTGCACGACAGAGATGCCAGGGTCTCAGCTTTGCACGAACACGACGAAATGGCACGTCGGTGTGACGCTTCGACAAATTGACGAGCGCCAAGCGCCACACTGACGTGCCTTGTCGTTGTGCTGCACAAAACCAAGGCCACGATTTGACATCTTTACACAGTCCTCTTCTTGTCTGATCGTTATTGATAGCTTTTATGAGCGGGTAGTTTTAAATTTGTCTTATGGTATCTATATCGTGTGCAATTTAATAAATATGATATATAATGTCATTTGCGTGCACAGCATAGTGATCTTATCGCCCATAAGAAATCTAATAAACATTGCGAGAAAGAGCAAGTCCTAGACAGAAGAACACAGTCTTCGATGCGACAGCATGGTTTATTATCATATTATATGATATTATATTATATCATATTATATGAGATACGAAAAAAAAGCGATATTGGGCTACATTGCTAGGGAATGTGCGGATTTTGGGCTAGCTCAGCTCGCTCTAGCGGCGGTTTCTGCGGCACACATTCTGGCAGCCCTGGCCAGCGGAGCGGATGCCGCGCCGTGCGTCTCGTCTAGTCTGTTTTCAGGGAAACTGAGGGAAACGTAAACAAACGTAGGAGGAGAGGAGAGGAGAGTTTACGAGAGCTTGTAAACACGAGTGGATAAATTATCCCTGTTGCCAGGTGCGATAAAGAGAGTCCGAGATCCCCGGGAGTAAGTATATTTACTACAAAAACGCTTGCGGCGTTTTCGACGCTGTCCATTTTATACCGCTTGCAATAAATATTTAATCGTTGCGCTAATTTTTATAAATTTGCCGCGTCGCGAACGTTCAAATTAAGAGGAAAATAGAACCTGGATAAACCTGCTGAATAATATTAGCCTCCGGTGAGAGCTCCGTTGTGTGTTTCGTAAAGCTAGCGATTAACCTTGTATCAAATGTATTTTTGTATTCTCTGATCTGTCTACATAATAGTGTCCCAAATGTACGTTAATCATCTCGCATTCTTATTGATACTCGTGTTGACCTGTGTTTTACTGATTGCAGCAAAAGTAGCCTCAAAAATGGCGTTACGCACCTACGGAGACAAGCCCATAAGTTTCCAAGTGGAGGAAAATGGGGAGTACTACTGCATCGGGTCGGAGGTCGGCAATTACCTGCGCCTCTTTCGCGGGTCTCTGTACAAGAGATACCCCGGCATGTTCAGGAGATCCATAACCAACGACGAACGCAAGAAATTAGTGGAGCTCGGGCTGAGTCAGCACGTTCTCGCGTCTAGTGTTTCGCTGTTGAGAGCCAGCGAGGTGGAGGATATTATCGAGGGCAATGACGACAAGTACAAAGCTGTGTCTGTGCACTCGACCGAACCACCGGCGCCTAGAGAGGGTAAATCCAAGAAGTCGATGGCGTGGGTGCCCAGTCTACCAAACAGTTCGCATCTGGATGCGGTTCCTCAAGCTACGCCAATAAATCGCAACAGAGTACACAATAAAAAAGTTAGGACATTTCCATTATGGTAAGCAAGAAAGTACAGCCAAGTTCTACGTACATTTTATTGTTTTCTATTGCTAAACTAGCTGCACTAGTTCAGAGTTTGTTTTTTTCCTTCCAATGTAGAATAAAAAAGATAAACTCTGAACTAGTGTAACCAGTTCAGCAATAGAAAACAGACCCCCATATAATGAAAATATAACTCTTATTTTATTTCCAATATAGTTTCGACGATACAGATCCATCAGCAAACTTGGAGAATGCGGCGCAACAGGAAATGCTGGTCCCAATACGTTTAGATATGGAAATCGAAGGCCAGAAATTAAGGGACACTTTTACTTGGAATAAAAATGGTATGTATTCTTGTATCCTTGGATGATAATTTTTACAAATTGTAACGGTATATCTGTTTGTTTCGCAGAAAGTCTCATAACACCCGAACAATTTGCCGAGGTGCTCTGCGACGATTTAGACTTAAATCCATTAACCTTTGTTCCTGCAATCGCGCAGGCGATAAGGCAGCAAATAGAAGCGTTCCCTCAGGAAACAATTCTGGAAGACCAATGCGATCAGAGAGTTATAATTAAATTAAATATACACGTGGGCAATACCTCTCTAGTAGATCAGGTAGAATGGGATATGTCTGAAAAGGAGAATAATCCAGAGAAGTTTGCGATGAAGCTTTGCGCGGAGCTTGGCCTTGGTGGAGAATTTGTCACCGCTATCGCTTACAGGTGAAACAACGAATCTTTTCGTACTCTGTGACCACGTAACTGTGCCACCGTTTTGTGTAAAATGATAGTTTTATTACCGAATTTATTAGAAAAAGATTTTTCGCAAAAATTAGCAAAGTTAAAAGCAATTTTGAATACAAGCAAATTGTGAGCATATAATAATAAATTGTATACTAACTTTATTATCAATTGTATACTAACTTTATTATCAAAACTAAAATTTATTATATACCCAGTTGATATTGATTGTTACTCAAGTAATACAATTATATTTATTTGCAGTGTACGCGGGCAATTGTCGTGGCATCAAAGAACGTACGCATTTTCTGAAGCACCTCTACCAACCGTAGAAGTTCCCTTTAGACCTCCGTCAGAGGCCGATCAGTGGGCACCGTTCTTAGAAACCTTGACAGACGCAGAGATGGAAAAGAAGATACGCGATCAAGATCGAAATACTCGGTAAGAAGTGAATTTGGCAGCGGTATACGTAAACTTTATTGTAATAAATGCGCTTGATTGATCATTCGTTTTCTTCTTTCTTTCAGACGTATGCGACGTTTAGCAAACACGACGCCTGGCTGGTAGAAAAAGTACATCTTGAAAGAAAACTCCATACCATCTACACATTTCAACCAGTACCATCCTAATTTTTAGTATGCCCTGATATTTGTAAGATTTATAAGTAACGATATAATTTTTATTAAGATACCATCGTAGAGTACGAAATATGCGGAAGTAACTATTTGTAAAAATAACGGATACATGGTTGCATTTATTAAAAAAAAAAAAAAAGAATGTAACTCTACATAATCAGTCATCATTGTTTATGAAATGTTCTTATATACAAGATATTCCAGATCTAAAGAGTCATTTTTCAATTTAGAGTCTACTTTTTCTTTCCATTTTTATAAATTTAAAAAACCTTTCTAATTTAATTTATTATACGTGACAGTCAATTTGTATCATTGAGTGATGAATAACTGGTGTCTTTTTATATCGTACGATGCACGGTCCGGTCTACAACGCAGTTATTGATACGTACATATCGCGTAACACTTCAATCGGGGTTTGATAACAGCTGACTGTGGAACGCAATCTTATGTAATAGTAAAAAAAATACAATTCGTTTCATATGTGAAAATTATATATTATATGAAATATATCTTGAATATTTTATTTGAAATATGTCATATATATTATACAAAATTTATTACAGTGCTGCAATTATCTGTTTTAGTCGGCTGCAATCGTACGACGAGATAACAGATCACGTGATTGTATGTCATTTATGATAAACGATCGTCGCAAAGCACGTGTTCGGCAATTATCTAACATTTCGGCATCTCATTAATCATGCGGGTCAACATCTCCGTTGTACCAACATTATACCGTCTGAATGGATTAAATGGAGAAAACTTGAGTGAAAGAAAAGACTGTCACATCTCTCGAGATTTATGATCAGCGACCTTTGACGAATGAATCGGAATGTAGATTAGTTGTTCTACTTTAACTTCGCTACAATATCTTTTTACCGCTCGTGTAATACGATGCTCTACGTTCTGAAGAATGAATTTGGAAGGAGGTAATCGATTTTTTCCGTGACGAAGCACTCCTGTATTTAGCCCTGGACTATGGACTGACCGATAGGACCGCGACAGATTCGACTGGTGCCCTCGCCAAGAGGGGGATATTTTCTGCGGCCCAATTTCAATTTTTACTTGTTTTTTTGTTTTCAAAATAGAATTTAACACGTCCACACACATGACTTTTTTTCTACATACAAGTTTTAGCAATTATTTTGAACGCTGATGGTTCTGACAATAGCTATCGACGAACGATCTCTTTTTCTACATTCTCAAGTCCTTGTTACAGTCCTGCGATGATCTACATATGTACATCTGATTTTTATTTAAAGAATATTCCAAGTCGCCACGATTCCTCGCAAGCTTGAAACTTTTACTTGGAATATTTTTTAGATCCAAACTTTCGGAGATAATTATTGATTTTTTGAAAGATATATATGTATAATATATGATATTGCGAAATATTCCAATACATTCAACCCTTAGTAAATGCTCGTGGAAAATCCGTAAAGACGTACTGGTGAACACATATATCTGAGGTCTGTTACCCTCTATATTTTTCCGAGTTTTCTTTTTAAAGCATAAATATTTATGCTTCATAATCATAAATATTTACTTTATTTTTTATTTTAAGCGCAGAGAGAAAGAAAAAGAGAAAACGGATAAAAGAGAGAAAGAAGAGAGTGCGAGCAAGCGCAATTAATTCAACAGATCCCTTCAGTCACCGGTGACTGACCAGACCATCCTGCATGTGTGTGTGCGCGGATCATGATACACCCGTGCGTAACGAGGCAGGGCAAGGCAAGGCAAGGAAAGGTGAAGCAACGCGTCAAATGAGGCGACGTCGTTACGCCGATCGCGGAAGGGGGAAAATATGGGGGAAACCGGTGCGTTACGCGCTCATCGGGACGCACGCATGAGTGTCAATCCGCTGGTGTCAGTCCAGCGGCGGCAGCGCGTGGAGCACGAGTTTACGAGTCTTGGTGCGCCCGAGCATGGATCTGACGAGGCAGCAACAGCAGCGGCGATCGCTGGCGAGCGCGTGCCACGGCCCGTTGCCGTTTCCACGTAGGCCGTGGATGAGCGAGACCGGCGTCGCCGCCGCCGCCGCCGCCTCCGGCAACCTGGGCCTCAAAGGGGTCATAGCCGGTACGTTTACTCCTTCTCGTTCCGTCTCCTCGTCTTTCTTTCTCTCCCCCGAGGAGGGAACGGGAGAGAAAGAAACGTTCTCTCTCTCTCACTCTCGCTCGCGCGATTGCCCGTGACCCGCCGACCTTTGACACCTGTCTGGGTGCCCACGTCACGCGGAAACGTGCACGAGAGCCTCCTTTTTTTTCTTTTTTTTTTCTTTGGAGTCAGTGCACTCTGGCAAATCGTACGATAACACGCGGGATCGCGCGATCGCGATCTCACGCGATTGCATGCGTATGTATGTGGATACGTATCCTCGCAAGGTCATCGAATTTATCTGAATTTCCATAGTAATGAAGACCGCGAATTACGGTCGTTTTACGCGACAACTCCGCGTAAAACGATTTAACGAGCTGACGACTGTGGACGCATCAAATAAAATTTAATTAAGAAAGGAAAGATATATTATTAATTTTTTTTTAGTTTTAGTAGTAAGATTAATTAGAAGATAAAGATGCAAAATTACGTTGCAATGTAATCGTATATTTTTATACTATTTCTTGCACATTGAAATCGTACGATCTTTTACTTGTACTTTTGAATGGCACTTCAATTTCTTTGGACCACTCCGACCACTTAAAGCCAGTCTCTTCCTCAACAAGACCTCGTTAATAACTCCAATTAACGCATGCACGTATATACACGTACTATTTTCGCGTTTATAAATAAGAATTGGAAAATACAATTGCTTTTCCAGGTGGTATTACTGGAGGGATAGAAATTTGCATCACATATCCGACCGAATACGTCAAAACACAGCTGCAGCTGGATGGGAAAGCTGGTGCTGGAAAAGAATATACGGGAATAGCCGACTGCGTCACCAAAACCGTCAAGACTCGCGGAGTCCTCGGCTTGTACAGAGGCCTGTCCGTCCTGGTTTACGGCTCTATACCGAAGTCGGCGGTGCGATTTGGCGCTTTTGAATCGGTGAAAAACCAGTTGGTCGACGCGGACGGAAAGCTCAATCCGCAAAGGCGGCTCCTCGCCGGTCTCTGCGCCGGGGTGTGCGAGGCTATTTTCGCGGTTACCCCGATGGAAACGGTTAAAGTGAAATTCATCAACGATCAACGTTCGGCGAATCCAAGATTCAGAGGATTTTTCCATGGTGTACGCATGATTGTGAAGGAACACGGTAAGAAAGAAGATTCAAGTACCAATTTCTCAAGCTTTTATATATATGTATATATTATATATCTAAATTTTATTTCTTATTAATTTTCATATGTTTGTCAATTGAAAGTGGAACACATTTCACATTTGAATTGCAATCGAGTTGTAACAGAAAGAAAAGAGAAATATTATAAAATTATATAGTAATTTAAATAAGTACAATTTAACTGTGGAATCCAGTTCAGAGACATGACTCGTTTATCTGGGTCAGATTGTAACACGAGCTTGTATAGTCGGTCGGTTTAGTATGTTATGAAATAATCTTTAATTCGTCTTCACGTTAAATGATAATCGTACAAAGATATCGTATAAAAAAAGTTAAAAGAACATGTAAAATTAATACATTAAGTTATATTGGAAATTTGGTTCTCAAACTTTGCGTAATGTACAATAGATAACGACATTTATATACATAAAAATATATTTGTCTTAAAATAATTTTATTTGCCAAAATTATTTTAAATGTTAATGTAACTCAGTTATGTTTATAGTGTTAAACGTAATATTGATAATGTAGTACATGCGAGTTTTTTTTTGTATGTAGGCTTTAAAGGAGTATACCAAGGAGTAGTGCCCACAATCTTGAAGCAAGGATCCAATCAAGCCATCCGTTTCTTCGTGATGGAAACTTTAAAAGACTGGTACAAAGGAGGCGACAATACTAAAAGTGTTCCTAAGATGGTCGTCGGTGCGTTTGGTGCGGTTGCTGGCGCAGCATCAGTTTTTGGAAACACGCCTATTGATGTCATAAAAACTAGGATGCAGGTACGCGTATAACGCGTTTCGCGTGTATTTAACACTTTATATTTATATTGAAAATTGCTACTCCGTCAATTGATGATCCACGCTCATTATAATGCCGTTAAACTTTATTGTTCTGAATTTGTTTTGCATTTAGGGATTGGAAGCTTCGAAGTACAAGAGCAGCGTGGACTGCGTGATCCAAGTGTGGAAGAAAGAGGGTCCAACGGCATTTTACAAGGGAACCATTCCGCGATTAGGCCGAGTATGTTTAGACGTTGCCATAACATTCATGATATATGATTCCTTCATGGAACTTTTTAACAAAGTATGGCCTTAGGTCTGTCGCATTTTGTACATACGTATACACGATACATTCTCTCAGATTTTACAAATATTGCTTTTACGTTGACGTATTTTTTACAAGCGTATTTGTACAACGTATTTTTTAGAGTTTATTTATTATCATATTCTTATTTAAGATGTATGTGATGAGAGAAACGTTTTTCAATGGCGATGTTTATAACAGACATATGTATGTATATCGGAAATCATAATAGGGCAAACGTGTCGCGAGTGCATCTCTTTGATCGTTTTTACAAGAAAAAGATGTGAGCTTTCATTTTGCACGGTATAATTGTGTGATATTACTACCTCCAGCTCTAGTTGCATTCATATGATGTGCGATACAAAAAAATCATATTAACTGCAGAAATGTTGTGCTTGGTTGAATGTGTGTGTCGTGAAATAATTCGTTTAGCATTATAGAATCTAACATTCTGCAACGACGTTACATTCCTGCAATCTCAGTCCAAGATACGAATATACGAGAGTGTCGTTTTTATAAACTCTTTTAAAGTGCGAGAAAATAGTCGGTGTGTAATAGATATATAAGCCACAACGTACATAGATGACAATACATAGATATATTTATGTACAATTGTGTACAGAAAGTTGTGTAGCACTAATTGATAGAACACAAGGAAAGCTCTCCAACGATTTTCATTTTGAATAATTTCTCGAGCCTGAGAACTACATCGATGTTGCAGAAGTAAATATAGAAGGATGATGTATGTTAATAAAAAAAAAAATGCAAGATAATTTTATATTTAGTTTTCTTTAACATGCAATCTTCCGTTTAACAAAATATAAAAATAGCAATTCAAATTTTTATTTAGCAGCCTAGTCTCACGGGTTTTTTTTATGCGTTTTGATATCTTTATCTCCTTCTCAATAACAGTTTTTTTTTAGTATAAGCTGGCAGAGCTCCAGGACTCCGTAAAAATAATCTGAGAGCTGCCGTCTCAGGAACGTCATGGACACAATTTTTTAAAACGCTCGTTCGGCTTTCCGTTCTTTGTTTCGACGTCTAAAAAAACAATAATTGCAAATGCAAAAACGGTGCGTTCGACACGTGGAAGATCAAAGGCAACATTTATGACACTGATTGATCTTCACGAACTAGTCAAAAAAATTGAATTTTTAATCACATTCATTATTCAGTATACGCATTAAAAGTCATAGTTCTTAATCATCAACGTCGATATAACTTTCCCTCTCGTCGCATGATAAAGATCTCCCGTCATTTACATTTTTACATATGCATACAGGGTATCCCGCATCATAACGGTATCTCGGATTAACGCGGAGTCTCAAAGAGCTCAAAGAACGTCCGATTGTTCTCCGGAAGATCTTCCTCGATCTATATAGTTAATTAACGAATCTACATGGAACTTGGGAAGCGAGACGAAGACGGTCCCCCTTTGATACTCGAAGTGCAAGATGCGGAGCGGCTGCCGTTGCATAGCAGGGCATCAGGGCCCATCGCGGGCCCACGTATCTTCGCGCGCGTGGCCCACGTTTCCACGTGTATGTGTATGCGTATGTGCGCGCGCGCTCGCTCGATTTACACGCTCGTATGTTGATGATAGTGTTGCAAAACGAGCGGGGCAACACACGGCCGGGGCCTCATCAAGGGCCCGGCGAGTTGGAGGAGGAGGAGGAGAGGAGCGCATAGAAGAAGCAAACAGCACCGGGCAAGCGGCAGGCAGCAGTGCCGGCCCCGCTCTGGGCCCGACGGGGGGACCCGGGGTCACATTCCAAGATGGCTGTGCCTGAGGAATGCAGTGGGTGCCCCCCTAAGACGCCTGCCTCCCTCCTTTTTTATTAATCGGTCCCATTTGCCCGTTCTAGCGAAAAGAAACCCCCTTATTACCGCTCGCGCGAGGTGAAACAATAATGTAACGCGCGTATACGTGCAGAGTTTAGTTTGCGAGCGGACGTCGAGGGAACGTGGTGCCGAGGTAAGTCCCATCTCGTGAGGGAGAGAAGGAGAGCCGAGAGAGCGAGGGACGGCGAGAAATAGTGGTATCGCACGTTCAATCCGGGGCCTGTTCTTCATGCCAGCACGCCGCAGATGATGCCCATGCCAGAGGATGCTACTAGCTCGTCTTAAGCAATGTCTCATAGGGATATCTCTGAGGTAATTGCGAGGTTCCTATTTGCAACTTTGGGCCCAATCCTGAATCGGGATCTGGCCTTCGCTTACACGTTACATCTTGTGTTTTGATCAGTCTCATTTAACTGTCTACGTACTTATTAATTCAATCGAGTATTTTATTGATATACTGATTTATGTTAATTTTATCCCTTGTCTTTTATAATGAAGAAATCGTTTATACATGTTAATCACTTTTAAATATTGAGATAAAAAGTATCTCCTTCGCTTTTAACTCTATTTGGAATTTTTTACAAATTTATATTATATTTTTTAAAATAAAATATGACTCGTGTCTATATATATTATTAACGTTATGAGTTAAAAGTTTTTTAATTATCATTGATTTAATCATATAAAATTTATCACATAGTTAAGAGTAAAAATAACTGGTTTAAAAGTAGCCTCTTCTAGTTCCATGGATCTTTCCATGTATGTGATTTCTTATTTTAATTTATATAAATAGCTTAGTTTTATCTATTAATAAAAGCAGGAAGTTATTTGCTTTAAATATGATTGTGCCAATTTGATGATTGTAAGGTGGAGCCCGAAGGTACGTCGGCCTTGGCCGCTGGATCCAGGGCACTATTCTTAGAAACGGTACGCAGGAGTAACGCGGCGTGCCAGAATGGAGATTACGCCCTGGCCGCGACATTGTATACGGAAGCCCTTGCCTTGGACCCCCTTAGTCACGTGTTATACTCGAACAGATCAGCCGCCAGGCTCAAAATGGGATTGTTTGCGCTCGCATTGCAGGATGCTGTCAGAGCTACCGAGCTGAGTCCACAGTGGCCGAAGGTATGTGCATTCTTCCTCGTATTCTTTCGTGCATTCCTATCAATTTTGGATCTTTAACGATCCGTTTTCAGGCGTACTACCGACAAGGAGTAGCGCTACAATGCCTAGGACGTTACGGAGAGGCACTCGTTGCCTTCAGCACGGGATTAGCTCACGACGTGTCCAATCATCAGCTGTTATCAGGCTTGGTAGAAGCGTCTCTGAAGTCTCCGTTGCGACCGACCTTAGAGCCGACGTTCCAACAGTTGCGCGTGATGAAGCTCGACGAGTCTCCGTTCGTCGTTATATCCGTGGTTGGTCAAGAGCTGCTCGGGGCTGGACAATACAGGGCGTCCGCTGGCGTGCTAGAAGCCGCGCTCACCATCGGAACGTGCAGCTTGAAATTGAAGGGTTCCGTACTCTCCGCTCTGTCCAGCGCGTACTGGACATTGAACTCCCTGGACAAGTCGTTACACTACATGCAGCAGGATCTGGGTAAGTAGCAGATAAGTCGGGACAATAAATCGAGCAGAAATTTTTACATTGATTCCTTTCAATTTGTAATCTGTGAATCTAAGGATCTAATGGAGCAAGTTTGTTTACCGATAATTGAAATTTTCAGGAGTGGCGCGTTCCCTAGGGGACCCGCAGGGCGAGTGCAGAGCCCACGGGAATTTAGGCGCCGCTTACTTCAGCAAGGGCAGCTTCAAGGAGGCTTTAACAGCTCATAGGTACCAACTTGTTCTAGCTATGAAATGCAAAGATACGCAGGCGGCGGCGTCGGCCTTGACCAGTCTGGGACACGTCTACACGGCGATCGGCGATTTGCCGAACGCCCTGGCCTCCCATAAGCAGTGCGTACAATTGGTGAAGCAGATGGGGGATCGGCTGCAGGAGGCTCGCGAGATCGGTAACGTCGGGGCGGTCTATTTGGCGATGGGAGAGTTCGAAAGCGCTGTCGACTGTCACACGCAACACCTGAGGATAGCCAGACGGCTGGGTGATCGCGTGGAGGAAGCGAGGGCCTTCAGTAACTTGGGATCGTCTCACCACTATCGTAGAAATTTCGGACAGGCGATGGCTTATCACGAGAACGTTCTGAGAATAGCTCAGGAACTCGGAGATAGAGCGATAGAGATCAGAGCATACGCGGGATTAGGTCATGCCGCCAGATGTGCAGGTGACGATAACGATATATTATTAAAGTACTGTATCGTCATGTTGCAATACATTAACGTATTATTTCTATTTTTAACTTTTCTTTACGTTAACATGATTTTATTCTAAATATCATAGGCGACTTGGCGCAAGCAAAACTCTGGCATCAAAGACAGCTTGACGTCGCGTTGGTCACGAAAGACAAGGTGGCCGAGGGACGAGCCTGCAGCAATCTGGGCATAGTATACCAACTGCTCGGCGAGCACGATGCCGCCTTGAAACTACATCAGGCACACTTGGGAATCGCGAGATCGTTAGGAGACAAAGCTGGTATGGGTAGAGCATACGGGAACATCGGTAATGCTTATAACGCCTTGGGTTATTACGAACAAGCCATCAAGTACCACAAACAGGAATTAACGATAAGCAAAGAGGTAAGGCGTCCCTAGAATAAGTATGTCATTATTGTGAAACACTCTGTTAATGAAAAATGTCGTTCAGGTAAACGATCGTAGCTCGGAAGCCAGCACACACGGAAACTTGGCGGTCGCGTATCAGGCTGTGCAAGGCCATGAAGCGGCGTTGAGACATTACAGAGCTCACTTAGCTATTGCGCGCGAACTGAAAGACACGGCTGGTGAGGCGTGTGCCCTGCTGAATCTCGCCAATTGTCTTTCTTCGCGCGGCAGATTCGAGGAAGCAGTGCCATATTACGAGCACTATCTGATGCTGTCGCAAGAATTGCACGACGTTGAAGGGGAAGCTAAAGCGTGCCATTTTCTGGGATACGCTCACTATTGCCTGGGAAATCATCGAGAAGCGGTCAGATATTACGATCAGGATTTAGCATTAGCGAAAGACTTGCAGGATAAATCTGGAATGGGTAGAGCTTACTGCAATCTGGGATTAGCTCACTTGGCGCTGGAAAATCTGGACACCGCTTTGGAATGCCAAAAATATTATTTGGGTAACACGTTTTGCGTATTTTTAACATACATATACAATAATGTAACTAATATTTTATAATTATATATTAATATATTAAAAGTAGGAGAATATAAGTAGAAAAAATAAAATGTATAATGATAAAAAATATAATAAATAATCGTTAATTATTTAACGCAGCGATTGCGCACATGACCAAACATCTGGCCGGCAAGTTCCGCGCTCTGGGAAATATCGGCGACTGCTTGTTGCGCATGGGAGAGATCGACGAAGCTATCAAGATGCATCAACGTCAGTTGAACTTGGCACGTCAAGCGGCCGATCGTTGCTTGGAAGCGGCTGCCTATGGCGCATTGGGGATCGCTCATCGAGCTACGAAGAACTTGGACAAGGCTCTAGGTTTTCACACGCAGGAATTAACTTTGAGGCAAGAAGCCGGTGACTTGCGCGGCGAATGCAGGGCGCATGGAAATCTGGGTGCCGTACACATGGCATTGGGACAGTACACTCACGCGGTCAAGTGTTATCAAGAACAATTGGAGAGGGCGAAAGAACTAGCGGATTCCGGAGTTGAAGCTCAAGCATTAGGTAATTTAAATTTATAATGTTTAAATTTGGAATTTTTTTTTTAAATAAAACATTCGAAATGTAAATTTAAAATTTCTTGCTTAAATGAGAAAGATAAACGCAATATATATAACGTATGTACAGAATGATATGCTAGAATCA